GCAAGATGCCATAAATGAGAGGACTTAGCACTAGATAATTTACATACAAAGGACCTAATAATGAATAAAGGGCAGTTTCCTTAAAAATAGTAGATGAGGGCCGGCAACATAGCTCAACATACTAAATTGTCTGCTTAGGCAAGTATAGGGACTGCAGTTCGATCCCGGGCACAACATGCCACACCAACGCCCCCCAGGGGTGGCTGAGCTTCCTCCCACCCCCCAAGAAAAAAAGAACAGATGAGTTTTCTTAAGGTGATCCCTTAAATTCTATTGTGTACAAAATATCATGATTCTAAACCAACCAATATGACTAACAATTTGAACATAAAGCTCAAGGTAGAAGTCAATGAACTAGAAAAATAATTTTTTTTTGTTTTTGTATCTTAGGGAAAGGTTTACAGGGTGTTCAGGGTCTCACTACTAGATCGGACCCCCCCCCCACAGCCTCCCAACAGCTGGGATTATAGGGGTATGCCACCACACCTAGTCTCAAATGTCTTAGCACACCCCGGGGGTGGGGCCGGCATGGCAGGCTTGGGGACAGATCCCCTGGCCCCTGTGCCTGTTTGCAGGTGCTTTAATGTGCTGAGCTATTTGGTTGGCCTAGGGAAAAAAAAAATTAATTCAAAATCCTGCTTTTTTTTTTTTTTTTTTTTTGGTACCACGAATTAAACTCAGGACCTTGTACTTGCTGGGCAGGTGCTGTGCCACCAAGCTATAATCTGGGCCCAAACTCTGAAAAACTTAAAGGGCCCAGATTATTTCACAAGGTAATACTAACAAAACTACAAAGACCAAATAAGCCCAATTGTTCAACATGTTTTTCAGAAAACTGAAAGGAAACAAAAAAAACCAGTGATAATCCTGATAAAGAACATAAAATTCATAGCCTAGTATCATGATCAATGGGAGAAATACTAACAAAAATCAATACTGTATCAAGGACATAATATACAATGACAAGGTGGGATTTATTCAAGGAATGCAAGTTTGTTTCACTATAAGGACACTCTATTAGGAAACTAACTCATTAATACCCCATATTCACACATCTATAGAGAAATCACACAGCTACCTCCATAGGTGCTTCAAGAACTCAACTAACATCTATACCTATCCCCAAATGACTCATGTAGATACCATCTTTTAACATGACACAATTTGCATTTTTTATCATAAAATCAGTGCCTTAAATTAGAAAATTCTCTGGGCTGGGGAGACAGTTCAGTGGCATACACACCTGCCTCATTAAAAAAAAAAAAAGATTATATGGAAAGGGCCAGGGAGACCAGCTCAGTGACAGATCTGCTTGTCTGCCTGGAAAGTGCAAGGTTCTTTTTTTTTTTTTACAGGATAAATGCATTTATAATTTTCAAATTAAGTGCAAGGTTCTAAATTCAATTCCCAGTGCCAAAATAAATAAAGAAATAAATAAAAACAAAAAGCCCAAGATTATTAAGGAAAAAAATATATAGTACTCATGTTGTTGGAAGGAATGCAAATTGGTATGACCTCTGAGTAGGAACAAAGTACTACAAACCCCAGCAAGATATATACTTATACTTGCCTCAGCAATGTTATTCCTAGAAAGTGACTCTAAAGATACTTCAACACTATGAAAATATTCATATGTAAAGTTATTCATTGCATCAGTATTTCTAATTGGAAAATATTTAAAATAACTTAAGTATCCTTATGTTAAGAAAGTGGTTCAGCCAAGTGTGGTGGCACATTTCTATAATCCTAGCACTTGTGAGGCTGAGGCAGATGATTATCCCTGAGTCTGAGGCATGCATAGGCTTATATAATCAAGTTCAAGGCCACCCTGCATTACACAGTGAGACCTTGTCACAACTGCCCCACACACCAAAAAAAGAAAGTGATGGAATAAGCAATAGCATATCCACCAAAAAAGAGAATGAAGAGAGCTGTGCTGGTGGCTCATGCCTGTAATCCCAGTAATTGGGAAGCTGAGTCAGGAGGGCTGCTTTGAGTTTGAGGCCAGCCTGGGCTACATGGTGAGTTCAAGGCCAATCTGAACTACATATCAAAACCCTGTCTCAAAAAACAAAAAGAAAGAATAAAGAAAAGCTTTATGAACTAATATAAAGTGATTTCCAGAACAGAGTGTTTAAAGAAAAGCTGTTTTGTATAAGAAAGTAGAAATTAAAATATGACTATCCATTTGGCCAAAAATAAATTAAGAAAGATAAAATAGTAGGTTTAATTATCACACAGTAGGTAAAAATGGGATTAAAAGACAAGAAAATGGAATTGGAATATAAAAATGAAGAAAAAAAAAAGTCCTACTTCTTTAAAAACATTTTTATATATACACAAATTTTTACTTTTAGAAGTGTATCACATTTTTACATATTTAGTAAATGAAAAAATTGAAGACAGGCAAAATGGGAGCAAAAACTATAAAATGCAGTCCAAACAAAAATCAAGCTTATGCTTTAAATGTATAACATAATCTCACAAGAGGAAAAAGAACTAAACTTTTTAACACAGTATTGTGATTACACTAATAGATAAAAAGAACTACAAATAGTGATTAAACTCTGAACAGTTTTTGATTTTTTTCCCTCCTAGTACTGGGAACTAAGATGCTGCCTCTTACTTGCAGTCTTCCTGTTTCAGCCTTCCAGGTACCTGGGATTATAGGCTTGTGTCACCATACCTTCTATCCCTCCCACCCCCTGCCCCATGGTGGTAAGAATGTACTCTAGAATTGAACAAACAGGTATATGTGCTATGGATTATGGCACCTAGATTTCCCACTGCTGCACAATCGCAAATATATAAAAAAAAAAATGTTATAATGATTCTGTACTGTTTAACTGGACGTCAGGATTTAAAACATATGTAGGGATCCTGGGGACAACCCGCTTGGGCCCCCCTTCTGTCCTTCTCTCTCTATATAGAAAATAGAAGTGTGTGTGAATGTTTTTCTAATAACATTTGATGAGATGTCACAGAAATGAAATTGTGTACTAATAAGCACAACAGACACCATGATTTTCGGTGTTAAGTACCATTCTCCATCGAGAGGAATTGAAAGTTCTTAGAGGAAAAGGTGATTATATGGTTTAAAAACTATAGAATGTGCCTAGAACACTGCTATTGTGAAGAAAGTAAAGAATAACTGTGAACTAGTGATAGTATGCTAAAATGATCTGAGAATTAGGATGGAGCTGCCATTGTACAAATCTTAAATAAGCAGATCAAAATAAATAAAATATATTAACATGATAAGAATCCAAGACTTTGTACTCACTACAGAATAAAAGGGAAAAAAATGTTTTCTTATATTAGAAAAGTCAATGATTACATGTGAAAAAAGATGGAATTAAAATTTTTTTAAAAAAATTAAGTCAAATTTTTAAAAATTGGGCAAAAACTAGCTAGTAAAATGTTTTATGACCATCATGACAGAGATATCCTAGATATTTAATGATTGTAAGGACTTAAGAGAGTAACCAAGAGATCACAGTTAACATCACCAGTACTGAGATAAAGCAACATCACGTTTTCTGACATCACATCCTTTGGGTACTTTGCCAAAAGAGGCAACCATTTGAAAGCAGGTTGACGAGCAAATAGCAGATAAATCCAAACCAAGGGAAATACTACCAAATGGTGTACATTTTTCAAAATCAAAAGAGAAACCGGAAAGTATGTTCCTCAGTAAAGGAGACACTATAATTTGATAAAATGACCACAAAACTCCTTTTTTCCCCTTTTACTATAAAAGACATTAGTGGAATAACTGGCTAAATTTGAAGTGTCTGCAGATTATAATACACTTTGAATGTTCATTTCCTAACTCTGATAACTGTACTAACAATGTTAAGTGAATTTTCTTTTTTGAGACAGTGCTTTACTATGTAGTTCATTGAACTCACGGCAATACTCTTGCCTCAACCTCCCGAGTGCTGATTTTGGGTGTTAAGCACCATTCTCTTAAAATGTGTATTACTGCTAATCTCAAAAACAGAATACAGAGGAAATAAAGCATTCCGAGTTAGCTCATAGCTTGGTAAATTAATCAGATTATTGCCTAAAGCTATCATATTTGTCCTAAAGGATAAGGTATATTTGCCTTTAAAAAAAAAAAATTATGTTGCACCAAAATGGTTGCACTAAAATTTTTCAGTTGAGAAAATCATCCATGTCTAAGTCTTTTAGATGTTGGCACTTGGAAAATAAGATATAATCTGGTTGTCAAACCACACTTCTGGAGTTTAAAATAGTCTGTTCCTATCACATTCTGGAATAAAATCCAAAGATTTTACTGTCCTGTCTAATGTGGTAGCTTCGCTCACCTTCAGCCTCAAAGACCACCTCAAAGATTTTGCACTTGCTCCTTCCGCCCATCCAAACACCTCGCCCCTTTGATTCAAGTCTGTCTTAAAATTACTTCCTCAAAAATGACACCCTACTTTCTCTAAGATAGCTCACCTTATGTCACTTTACCTCCATAGCAGTCAGGTCTACCTAAGTTTGTATAATGTTCACTGCACAGAGCCTAGATTAGGATTACCTTATTTTTCATTGACTATGGGGATTCTCTCATGACCATTCTATTCTCTCAACAGCCCCGTAAAATATATATTAATATCAAGTGTTTGCACTTAACAGATAGAAAATCTGCTATTTATAGCAGTTAGCTAACCACTCAAGAACTCACAGCTAGTTAAAGTATGACAGCCAGAGTTTAATATCTATCTTCCGAGTGTAGTAGAGCTTGCATAAGCAGTGGGCATGCAGTGTTCTTTGTGCAGGAAATAAATCAAGGAGCAATTATTGCAAGCTTATCATGAATAAGCAAGTATGCTGGAACTGAGTAGAAAATAGACTTAAATTGGCAGACTAGGGCCCAGTAATCTGCCATTTTAGTTGTTACTTTGCCATGTATCCTTTCCCATTCCTTCCTGGTCTGCTCCTTTCCAAATCTACATGTCTACAGAAACACAGAGCCTAGAGTTACTTACCGAAACACAAAAGACTTGACAGCCTTCTCTTTCTGCTCCAAAAAGTCTCTTCTGAACTATTCACAACACTTAATTCTTCCCTCTCCTAGAAAAAAAAAAAAAAAATCAGCAATGCAGATAACTTTGTGAAATTTACAATTTTTAAACATAGACTTTTCCATTTAAATATCGTTCCTATTAACTCCAGTCTGGTCAGCACTCTTCAAACATACCTTACCTCTTTTCATCTTTGTTTACATTCTTTCTCTTGCCAGAACTGTCAAAAAGTTCCTTCCTGACCTGCTCTACACAAAGTATCAAAAACCCTTCTGGATAATGACAAACTGTAACTTTCTCATATAGCCCTAGGCCTTGTTTTTCTTCGTTATTTGATTTTTTTTCTAATTTTCTTCGTATTATCCTAATTTCTAAAGCAAAAAATTCATTCTGCCAACACTATAAACCTTGAGGTGCAAGGGTTATGTATATACAATACAAAGTTATGGATATTCCAGACCTCCCAAAAGAAATATGTTATTAAATGATTAAACGAACCAAATTGTGCAAACAGATTCTATTGCAAAACAACTAACCTTCGCACTAACGACTGGGGATTTATTCAATATCTGTGGGTTTGCCCCATGAATGTTAAAGCTATGTCTGGCTTAAGACAAGTGTGTATTATAATCTTCAGAAACTGTCCTGCTTAAAGGGTCTTCAACTTTTCAGCGATCGCCCTACCGCCCCGCGTCTAGGCAGGGAGGGGCGGGCTGCGCCCCATTCCTCGCCCCCTCCCCCACGGCCACCCCGCCCCCGACCCGGCCAGCGGCTCTCACCCGGCAGCCCCGGAGCCGCCCCTCGGCCTGCGAGCGGCACTTCCGGTTATTCGCGGACACTCGAATCCCAGCTTGCGAGCGGCCGTAGACGCAGCAGCAAAGGGCCTGAAGGCTCGGCTTCCAGAGGGGAAGGAAAGCGAGTCGGAAAGCCGACGAGAACTCGAAGCAACTCCCTAACGCTGTTCAGCGGGGGCCAGGCCGCGCGCCCTCTCAGGGCCGACCAGAGAGGCTACGCGAACCCTCTTAGTCCAGCTGGGAAGCCGCCGCGCAGCTCCACCCCCGCGAGCCACGTGACCGCCACACTGGCGAGGACGAGCTACACCCCCAGCCCTCGGGCCAATGGAGGGCCGAGGCGCCGAGAGGGGGGCGGGCCCAGGCGGCGCATGCGCCCGGCGCCTTCTGCCCTTCTGAGCGGTCGTAGCTAAAGCCTTGTGGTGCAAGCTGGAAGGAGGCTCCTGCTCGCCTGTACCTCGGGCTACGTAGCTTGCATTGCAGTCTCCAACACCTATGGTCTTTCCTCACGCTCAGTCCAGGAGTAGCGTCACATAGATGCTCGAAAAACACCTCAGGCTGTGTGGAAGAGAGGGTGGATTCCCAGGCTCCGCGGAAGTGGAAGTGCTCGCCCGTGAGCTGCGTGGAGTACTTTGAAAGAGTAGTGGTGTCCTCGTGTGGCGGAGGAAGCAGCTCGGGAAAAGGGTTGGAGGGTTCTCAGTCTTCCTGGTTGTGGTTTAAGGCTGGAATCAGCTGGAAGCAATCACTGGTGCAGCTCGGCTGAGGTTTCCTAGAGAGTGAATGGTATAGATTCTCTTTGCTTAATGGGGCGGGGGGGGGGGGGGTAGTGGTGGTGGTGATGGTGATGGGGTGGTTTAAAGCCCCCAGACATTGCCGGGCATGGTGGTGCGCGCTTGTAATCCCAAGCACTTTTGGGAGGTTGAGGGCAGAAGGTCGCCATGGATTCGAGGCTAGGCTGGGCTACATAGTTCAAGGCCTGTCTGGACTGCATAGCGAAACCCTGTTTCAAGAAAAGAGGGAAACCCTCCAGACATCAAGAGGAAATTTATCCTGTATCAAATATACAAGAGTACAGTGTAGCCTAGGGCTTGGACTGTGAGCCATGTTTTGGTATTAGGGACCGGGTAGGACAGCTGCATGTACAGAAGTAATCATGTTTGTCCTTTTGGAATTCTGTAGAGGAGTCATGGCTTATTAATTTTTTTTTACATTGATTTAGTGTGTGTGTGTGTGTGTGTGTGTGTGTGGCCAGCTCAGCCCACTGGGGGGGGAGGGCTGGCTGGCATGTGGCGCTGGGGGATTGAACCGCGGTCCCTGTGCTTTGCCAAGCTTGTTCCAAGTAGGTGCTTTAGACCACTGAGTCATCTCTCCAGCCCCAAATATGTACTTTTTTTTTTTTTTTTTTTTTGCAGAACTGGGGATTGAACTCAGGCCCTTGCACTTGCCAGGCAAGGGCTTATTCTACTGAACCATCTCCCCGGCCCTTATTAATTTTTATGTTTGTTTTAATAGGAGAACTCTGAAGTGAGGCGAAACTATTCCATTCAGGGTCATCTTGACACTTAATAACTTTTAGTAACTCAGTGTATGGTATGTGTGAATCACTTTGCGTCAGTTGTCTCATTCAGCCACAACACAAATGGCATTAGATGTGTGGTACTGTCTTGAAAAGAAATTGATGTACAAATTTGACTTGCCAAAGTCACATGTTTAAGAACTGCTGGTGTTTGAACTGTAAACTGTGTGATACCAGGCTGATGCTTCAGCCACTGTACTTGTGGCTGCCTCAGTAGTGGGATTAAACAGGATTCTGATCCTGCTTTATTTCTAAGATGGTCTAGATTAGTGTTGAACTCTTCAGACTGTTGTTTCAAGAGGCATTGGCCCAAAGTACTAATTATATGTGTTCACCTGACATTTATTGAGCACCTGTAATTCATTCAGTATGCTGGATATTAGGAATCTAAAGGCATATAAGACTCAGTCCCATTCCTCACACTAGTATAGAAACCAGAGGCATCAGAAGTATATAGTATACATAGAAATTGCTTAAGGTATCCTGGGATCCCAGAGATAGGGTACTTTTGAGAGTTAAGACTTTGATCAAAGTAAGGAAAGACTAGAAGAGAAGACATAAACTAAAATAATAGAAGCAAGGACTTGGGTGAAGACGAGACTGAGTGGAAGACAGGAAAGAAGTTGCAAATATTTGGATATAATTTCAGTTGGTGGACTTTGTCTTGTAGGAAATGGGAAGCCATTCCAGGGATGGTAAGCAGGAAACTAGTTCAGTTATCCCTGAAGTTCAAATATTTTAAAATATATTTTCTGTTTTTAGTTTTTAGTTTTTGTTTTTGTTTGGGGTTTTTTGGGGGGCAAAATTGGGGATTGAACTCAGGCCCTTGCACTTGCCAGGGAAGCGCTTATTCCACTGAGCCATCTCCACCCCCTTCTGTTTTTAGTTTTAAGCATAATGACAAGGATAAAAAGAAGGTGCAGCCAACAAATTATGAGGAACATAAAATACAATATAGCAGTCAAAGGAGGAGAGTTTCAATGAAAAAGTTGTTAGCAGTATCAAATGTAAGGAAGAAATCAGGTTAAACACAAAAGGTGATTTGATAATGTTTCCAGTGATGGTGAACTTTCTGGAGATAGGGTGTTCAAACCACAACCTAAAGCCTACTTATTTATCACAAAGTGCCAACCCTGCAGTTAAACCTATGTTTTAGTTTATGAGAAAAAAACTAATACATAAACATCTTTTGACTTAAAAGAAAAATATAGGGTCTGGGGAGATAGCTTAGTGGTCTAAGCATCTGCCCAGCAAACGCAAGGGGTGGCACATGCCTGTAATTCCAGCACTGGGGAGGCTGAGACAGGAGGATCATGACAAGCCCAAGTTGTATAGTGAGACCCTGTAACAAATAAACTAAACCTAATAGCTGAGCTTTCAATGGTACAAGCAGCTTTTTATTGAAAGATAAAAGTTTGCATTTGGCATGCTTTTGCACACTTACTGTGATGTTATTTTTAAGACAATGGCCTTGAATACCTGGCAATTCTACTGCCTCAGCCTCCCAAGTGTTGGATTACAGGTGTCACCATCACACCCAACCAATGTGATCTTTGCTGTTGTATATATATTGATAACTTGTCAAACCTTAGCTTGGATGACAGAGTGCCAACAGGGAGGGCTCTGTGTGCCTGCTGCGGCACACAGTCCATAGCTTCACTCCCACTGGTATATAATTGTGTTCCAGGAATCATTTTACTTTTTTTTTTTTATTTTTCATTTTTTATCTTTTTGGTACCCAGAATCAAACTCAGGACCTTGCACTTGCCAGACAGGCACTTGTGCTGCTGAGCCAAATCCCCAGTCCCTGGGCATTGTTATAAGAACTCAATATATAACTCATGTGATCATACACATGAGGTTTAATCCTCACAACCCCATTTTATAGATGAGGAAATTGAGGCCCAGAAAGATTAATTTGAGCATGATCATACAAGTGATAAGAGGCAGAATGAAGATTAACACAGAGGCTGTTTGGCTGCGAATCTGTGCTTGTGAAGAGGATCTCAGTTTAGAAATCAAAAGATGGCTTTTGTCTTTAGTACCATAAATTCTGTGGATTGTAATAGAAACAAAAAGACACAGGCAATTTGTTCTGCTTTTTACAGACTCTTAGCTACAAAGTTGAACAGTGAGAGTACCTCATTATCATAGATCACAGAATCTGTACAAAAAGCAGAGCCTGAGGTTTCAGGGTAGAAGAAATTTTCATATGTAGCTAGCATGAAAATGTAGAGAAAAGATGAAGATTCTGGAAAGGGAGATTTAGTATAGAGAGGCCCCCTCAGGCGCGAGAAGAGACAGATCGACAGTAATGAAGAAGAATTAGCTTCAAATAAGAAAATGAATCTACATTAATTACTTTGGTCTTGTTCAGAAACTTTAATTGTGGAATTTGTAGGGAGGATCCCAACTGGTTACAAGTATCATATTCAAGCTTCCAGTCTATTTTATCAGTCATTTACCAGAACCCAGGCCAGAGGAAATATACATATTTTCATTTTTAAAAATCCATCTGATTGGATCCAAAGATAACAACCAACTGCATTTTTAAGGATAATACATCACTGTTTTGATGACTCATCTATTTCCATAGGAAGGCTTTCCCACGGTACTACACATGAGAGAATAAGCATAAAACTAATGTAGAGTAGATTTGATTTGGAGGTCTCTTTATCTTTAAAAACCATGCAAATTGCATTCTACATTATGATCTGTTACAGAGAATCCTTCCCAGACCTTGTTGAGGCCCAAAAAGTTTGTATTTATAATCCCATGAATAAGTTATTGGAATCCCATCCAGTTAATTTGAACCTACCATACCCAGTGCAACCCACAGTGAGAATAAAGACATTAAGGCATATTTGTAGCTGTGGGGTGCCAAGGGGTTCTAAGTCTAGCCATGATGATGACTGTCTGGAACAAAGGCCTCAACCCAAGACCAAACCTGCGTTTTATTCATTCATGAAGAAAGGAGTGACTTGAGGATGAAAATGGTGGGAAGTAGATGAGTGCTCTGAGCTGGGCTAGGTAGAAGGCCCAAAATCACCTCAGCAATATACAGAAAAGGATATACAGAAAGGGTAATCTGTATAATGAAGATAGTATCTTGGGGCTGGGGATTTGGCTCAGCGATAAAATGCTTGCCTAGCAAGCTGGAAGCCCTGGGATTGGTCCTCAGCACCAAAAACCCCCAAAAAACAAAAAACACAAAAAGTAAACTTCCCCTAAAAACAATTCAACCAAAGAAAGATAGTATCTAATGTTTTGGGGTTTGTACTTCAGCTCTGATGTATAATCTTTTGAGCCCCAGAAAGTCATAGTCTCTATCTCAAGGCTCCAACCCAGCTGACAGCATGGAGCATTGGCTATCTTGTCTCGTCCTGGCTCACACACTCAGGAGGTCTGGGGAAACATACCTGTTGTCTTCAAAGACTATCTTCAGCACCTCAACTGGATCAGTAGGCATTATTTAAGGTCAATTGAAGGAATAAGGAAAAGTCCTAGCCAGCACATAGCAATCAATACATGGAAGTAGGGTCAAGCCTAGCCAAAATGAAGACAGTTGCTCCTCTGTCAAGGAGAGTTGCTCCACAATCTGGTTGAGCATGGAAAACAAAACAAAACAAAACTCGTTCGTGGGTCAGGACAAGGACCCTAGGGGGGAGT